ATCTATATAGAATCTGATAAACAACCAGTACATCTATCTATATAGAGTCTGATAAACAACCAGTACATCTATCTATATAGAGTCTGATAAACAACCAGTACATCTATCTATATAGAATCTGATAAACAACCAGTACATCCATCTATATATAGTCTGATAAACAACCAGTACATCTATCTATATATAGTCTGATAAACAACCAGTACATCTATCTATATAGAGTCTGATAAACAACCAGTACATCTATCTATATAGAGTCTGATAAACAACCAGTACATCTGTCTATATAGAGCCTGATAAATAACCAGTACATCCATATATCTATCTATATAGAGTCTGATAAACAACCAGTACATCTATATAGAGTCTGATGAACAACCAGTACATCTGTCTATATAGAGTCTGATAAATAACCAGTACATCCATATATCTATCTATATAGAGTCTGATAAACAACCAGTACATCTATCTGTATAGAGTCTGATAAACAACCAGTACATCTATCTGTATAGAGTCTGATAAACAACCAGTACATCTATATATCTATCGATATAGAGTCTGATACACAGCCAGTACATCTATCTGTATAGAGTCTGATACACAGCCAGTACATGTATTACGTTGGATAATTAACAATATTAAAAGATACAAAGAACTTCTAAACAACAACATTGTAAAACTAGCACAATGACGTAGCTCCGACATAATGACACACACTGTAACAGCTGTTGATGCCTCATTATAATATGGGTTTTTTAAACGATAGTGGGGGTGAGAGTATTTACTCCATAAGATTCCTCCCTCCCCCCTAACAATTAGCCAGGAAACAGATAGAGAGAATAAGACCTTAATAATAATAGAGAGAAGATCTGAGCGTACAAAACTACAAGAATTTGTCGAGAAGACAGAAGAAGGGAATTTTAACAACTGATAAGGAATACGATTTATAAGTTTCAATGTTTGGGTAATTTTCGCGCAAAGTTACTCGAGGCCTGTTTGTGCTAACTGCTGTTGCAGTGTCTCAAATCTCCCGATTTGGCACCTCTCTGTGTTGACAGGTATATGTTGTATGAATAGGTAGGTGTTCTACGTGAGTATAAACCTAGAAAAAGCTACGTGAAAACGTACACAAACAAATGTTGTTGTTGTTGTTTTACCACCCGTCCGTTCATTCGTCTGTTGGTATTTTAGTATTGTTATCCGGTATCTACTTACACACTAGTTTTTCGTCCAAGTTCCCTCGTGACGTCACAGAAAGAGCCCGGATGAACTCTTCGAATTCGATACTTCCGTCCTGCACACGAGAAAAACAACGTATTGTAAATTTGATGAAAGTACTTAATGATTGAGGATATGTTGGTCGTCCTTGGTGTATATTAGGAACTGTGAAACATGAAACTGTTCTTTAAAGAGTGACCTTTGAAGTCGCAAACTAAAAAAAGTCTGTGTGTCCAGTGTTTTATTTTCTATATACATAGAGAGAGACTGGCTTACTGGCGTGGAAAGAGAGATGGGGATAAATAAACAACCAGTACACGTGACGACTGATAGATAAATATAAAGATATATCGATAGACAGATAGATAAACTGATAGATAGATAGACTGACAGACAGCTAGATAGATAGAAAGATGGATGGCTAGGCAGACTGAAAGATAGACAGAAAGAAACAAATGAGTAGAGCTTACAGAAAAAGATAAGACGTTGAATTTGTCGTTTTTATAAAATAATACCTAGACATACACATATTGACTGACTTACTGGTAGGGAGAGAGAGATGAAGATAAATAATCAATCAGCACACGTAATGATAGAGAGGAATGAGTAGAGCTTACGTAACAAATAACTTGTTGTTTTAATAAATTTAGTGTGTTAAAACGAAACGTTCTGTTAGAAACATGAGGTTTTCTCCATTAAAGGAAGATACGTACAATATTTAAAATAATCACACGTACAGTACGGCGATATGTACAATATTTAAACTACAACAAGCTATAATCACACATACAGTACGGCGATATGTACAATATTTAAACTACAACAAGCTATAATCACACATACAGTACGGCGATATGTACAATATTGAAACTAAAACAAGCTATAATTACACGTACAGTACGGCGATATGTACAATATTTAAAATAGAAGAAGTTATAATTACACGTACAGTACGGCGATATGTACAATACTTAAAATAAAACAAGCTATAATCACACGTACAGTACGGCGATATGTACAATATTTAAACTAAAACAAGCTATAATTACACGTACAGTACGGCGATATGTACAATATTTAAAATAAAACAAGCTATGACTACACGTACAGTACGGCGATATGTACAATATTTAAACTAAAACAAGCTATAATTACACGTACAGTACGGCAATATGTACAATATTTAACATAAAAGAAGCTATAATTACACGTATTGTACGGCGATACGTACAATATCTAAAATAAAGCCATCTCTAAAGTACACGTACAGTATGACAATATGTACAATATTTAAAATATAACAAGCTCTAATTATGGGTACAGTCGGCGATACGTACAAAATTTGAAATAAAACAAGCTTAATTACACGTATAGTACGGCGATACGTACAATATTTAAAATAAAACAAGCTCTAATTACACGTACTGTACGGCGATGAGAACTTCATCTGTATTCAAAATATTTTTTTTATTTTACATTTTATTTGATGGGACAATTTTTATCATATATATATGAAAATGTGCAAAGCGTCCTCTATAACGTCTATATATCTTCTTTGCGAGACCATATTTGGCCTAGCTCGAATCCCGTCACCAAACATGCTCGCTCATTCAGCCATGGAAGCGTTTTAATGTGACGGTCAATCCCAATTTTTGTTGGTAAAAAGTAGCCCAAGACTTTGCAGTGGGTGTATTTAACTAGCTTCCTTCCCTCTGGCCTATCACTTCTAAATTAGAGAGGGCTATCGCAGATAGGCCTAGAGTAGTTTTCACGAAATCGAACAAAACAAACAAACAAACGCGACCAAACTTAACTTTGTCTACCTTGTTATATTGATTACCTTAGATGTCTCCTCCGGTTAGACAACTGTAAGTTTACGGACTTACAACGCTAAAGTCCGGAGTTCGATACCCTGCGGCGGACATAGCAGTTAGCTTAATGTGACTTTTCTCTACTACAATCAACCAAAGTTTTGTTCTGAAATACACACGTTTACCGATTCATTTTGTATTTCTTTTTTTTAATAATGTTACGACAGCGGAAGTCACGTGATTCTAGTAACACATCATGAGATTCTCGAAGGATCTTGACTTTTCCTGGCAACTCTAGTCTTTTCTAAAGCGGATAAATAATTGCAGATAGACAGATAATTGAGTCAAGCGAGCGGTGGTGACCGTAAGTAAAGTGCGTGAACCGTTGTGAATAATAGCGTATGTTCAAGTTAAAGTGACTGTGGAAATTCTGTGCATTGCAAAGTTGAATTGAGAAAGAATAAACTAGTTTTATTTAAGAAAGGACTTGTATCGCTGAAGTTCCTCGGGAAGAATTTATACCGGAAATAAACAAACGACCAGAGACGTAACAATAATTTATTTTGTTTGCTTAATTTTCATAAATTTCCACCAGTGGATCAGCGCTAATTTTTATACCTTATAGCATTAAAATTCGGGATTAGATATACTCTGCGGCTACCGTGCAGAAAGCACGAATATTTAAGTTATTAACTTTCTTAGTTGATGTTCTTAATGAAGCCTAGTAAGTTAGTTGCCTTGTCTTCATTTTTAAACGCATGAATTACGTCTGTTCTTCAATGACTGATAGACAAAAAAACCACAATAACAGAAAAACAGTTTCTATGGTAACTTTCACATGATCTTTAAGTGTCATCCAAAACGTAACCATAGCAACCTTGAG